GGGGGCAGCGTGACTGGCTGGACGTGGCAGGAGATGCTCACGGGCTCGTCCAGCTCCAGCAGGGCGATGTCCGCCCCGTTCTCGCTTGTGTAGTAGCTGGGGTGGGGGATGACCCTGCTGATGGAGAGCAGCTGGTCCTGGTAATACAGGTGCTGCTCCCGCAGCTGCACTCTGAGGTATGAGGGGTTGCGGACTTCCCTGGGGACAGAGACGGGCCCCTACTCAGAGCTGAGCCACCCTCGGGACGCCCAGGAGCCTGGGTGGAGCCCCAGCGCACCCCACCCTCGGGCCCTCTGGAGACTCACGGTCCGACGCAGTGGGCCGCGGTCAGCACCCACTGGGGGTGGATCAAGGAGCCCCCGCAGAGGTGCCTCCAGTACCCGCGGCTGACTCTCAGGCTCACCTGCCAGGGCCACCTGCTCCCAGGGGCATCCTGGCCCCCGACGATGCCCGCGCGCTGCAGGGCCTAGCCTGGGGCTGGAGCAGGAAGCCTTCAACCCTGGGCTCCTCTGAACCCACCACTTGCCCCTGGGCTTGTGGGGGTGGGGGAGGGCAGAGACCCCGCAGGCCTGGGGTCAGGACTCACCAGGGGCCACGGGGACCAGGCTCAGCAGGAGGGCCAGCGCCAGCAGAGAGAACATCTGCAAGGAGCAGGGAAGGGTCTGGGGTCTGGGATCCGGGGGTGCAGGGTCTGGGGGTGTGGGGTCTGGGGCTGTGGGGTCTGGGTCTCTGGGGTCCAGGGCTGTGGGGGTACAGGATCTAGGGTCTGGGTTTGGGGTCTGGGGGTCTGGGCTGTGGGGGTGCGGGGTCTGGGGGTGTGGGGTCTGGGGCTGCGGGGTCTGGGGGTCTGGGGTCTGAGGGTGTGGAGTGTGGGGGTGCGGGGTCTGAGGTCTGGGGTCCAGTGGCGTGGGGCCCTTGATCAGGGGCTCTGTCCAGGCTGGGGGTCTAGGGCCTCAGTGCTCGGCCACCCGCTGCACAGTGACAGCCAATGTCGGGGTCCTGCTGGGGGGCTCACCTTGGCAGGTCCAGGCTGCTCTTGCCCAGCCCACTCTCTCTGCCCCTTTATCCTCAGACAACCAGAGGGTCAGGGGAGGGGGCGGGTCCTCCGATCCAGGGGAGTCGGGACGGAAGTGGATGACTCAGACCAGAGCGAGTCCATCTGGTCAGGAAGGGCCCTGCCGTCCCCGTCCACGCCGGCAGACCCGATTCCTCCACGTGGCCCCACATCCATCTCTGGCTGTTATCTGAGAAGTTAACTCTACCATCAGGGGAGCCGTGTTATCTGGGGATCTGAGTGCCATTCGCACAGGACAGGCTGAGGGACATGAAGGCGAGGGGACAGGAGAGGCCAGAGCCACCTTCCCTGGACGCTCCCCCCAGGCCCAGCACCCCGTCCCCTGCCTGCAGGCCAGGGTGAGCCCTATCTGTTTCCACCCACCCCGCCTCCTCACTCTCCCCTGGGCCTGCTGGTCACTGGTCCTGCAGCACATCCGCCCTCCTCAGCTCACGGCCTCCTGACCCCGGCCTGTCCCACCCCTCCATCCATGTGGCATCTCCTGGGCCCTAGGGGAGCCCTGCCTTGCCCCCAGCCTGCTGGGATGCCAGCCCAGCTCTGGGGCGCTCCTGTCCCTGGCTGGCTCTCTCGCACGTCCTAGGGATGTACCCAGCTGGATTTCTCAGGTGAGCACACCGCAAAACAGGATGCCCCATCTCAGGCATCCCTCCAGTAGACCCTGGTCACTGATTCTCCTGCCCCTACATTGGGCCTCCTGGGCCCTGGGAGGGGCAGCCTGGGCTCCAGCTCTCCCAACCCCGGTGCCTCCCCCAAGGCCAGTCTCCTAGGTGTGCAGCTCCCATGGGCTCAGAGCGGAGGAGCGCCTCTGTCGTCCTGATCTGTCAGCTGATGAAACGCGGAGCGCGCGCTGTTGGGCCAGGGCTCTGAGCCCGGGGCTGGTGGGGAGGAGACAAGCCTGTGCCCCCCACAGCCTCTGCCCCCCACCGCTGTGGATCATCAGGCAGCTCCCCACCCAACCCTGTGCCTCAGCTCCCCCACACCTAGGAGGGGGCCGCTGATCTCGAGCTTCCCGGAGGACATGCAGCCTATGCGTAGGAGCTGGGCAGGGGGCTGGGGCAGGAAGGAGGGGCAGGAAAGTCCTAGCCCTTCCCAGGGGCCTAATCAGCTCAGTCATCAGACCCTGGCCGGGCAGAAGACGGTTAGGAAGGGGCTGCCCCAGGCCGGGCAGCTGGGGCAGTGCCCATCTGATCTGTGGTGGGGCCCACAGGACCCGCGGACGAGTGGGCACAGAGATGCCAGTCACAGGGCTGAGCTGGGCCTCAAACCCTACTCTGTATTTCTTTTCTTTAATGTAATTTTTTAGAACAGGTTTAGATTTACAGAAAACTTTCCAAAGCGGTGTAGACGCACCCATGTGCTCCCGTGACAGTGACACTGAGGCTCCTGGGTGCTCCCAGGGACACAGCTAGGGAATCACACAGGGTCTCAGGAGTGAGCACACACAGGCACACACATGTACACGTGGGCTGACGCATGAGCACATACGCGGGCTCATACCCCCTGTGTCTACACTGAAGCCACCAGCTTTCCCCAACCCCAGCTCCACACCTCTGGGTTTACTGCAAGCCCCTCTCCTATGTCCTGCCTTCTCCGGTGGGTAAAACCCGGTTCCGCCCCTAATCCATCGACTTATTTGGTCAGTGCCCACGTGTCCATTACCCTCCCATCTCCATTAGCCTTGCCTGAACACAAGCCCTTTTGCTCCGGCTGGCACCCTCCTCTCTTTCCTGCAACACTAACCCCTTCTAGAGTGAGTGCCCACCCGACCACCCAGCTCAGAGGAAGGGGCAAGGAGAGGCAGTGGACAGAGCCCGGGTGTCCCCGTAAGAAGGCGCTTCTCGGTAGTACTTAACCTTTGAGCAAGCGTCTACACAAGCTGCTGCCCCTTTAAATCGGTTGGGTGTCGTTTGAGGGGTAGTAAGCCTCCTTCTTTCCCGGCTTTACCTGGCACTTTTGGCACAGATATTCTTCTCAGCAGGTGGGTTACACTTTCGCTTTCTTAACAGTGTCCTTCAGAGCATAAATTTTCAATCTGGCAAAGGCCAGTTTCTTCTGACTCAGAAACTCAAAACTCTGACTTCAGAAACTCACCAGGTTCTTCTGTTTCTCTTGGTGGTTTTTGAGTCCCCTTGCCTTCCTCCAGGTCAGTATTTCCTGATGTAGTTGCTCTCCAGTGTTTCACAGTCTTAATGTCTACACTGAGGCCTAGGATCCACTTTGAACAGTTTCTCTGTGAGCACCAAGGCTCACCTCTCTTCCCACACAGGACACAGTTGTTGCAGAAACATGTGCTAGGAGGGCCCCCTCTCTGTCTCCTGAAAACAGGGGACTGTGTTTGTGAGTTTCTTTCTGGGCAACTCTCCTAACACGCTGAACATCACCCTGCAGTCAGGACACCCTCTCGCAGCCACTGCGGGAGCCTGGCAGGTCCCATGTGTGGGTGACTCCGCAGCACGGGGCTACTGCCCCATTTCCCCTGCAGAGCTCCCCCTGACCCGAGACTCCCCGGCTGCCCCGCAGACCACCAGCCAGGATGACCCTACCCAGAGGGCTGCCCCTGTCGGCCAGTTGGACGTGCTGCATCCCGGGACCCCAGGGAGGCTGGGCAGGTGAACTCAGGCTCAGGAAGTGGAGGACGGGGACTCCCCGGCTCTCTGGCCTCCTGGTCCTCACCCCATTCTGCCCTCAGGACGACCTAGCGGACCTCTGGTCAGCCAGCACCTGACTGCAGGTGAGCTGGGTGAGGGCTGTGGCCATCCTGACTGGCCCACATCATAGGCTCTCCAGGCTTCCTGCCCTCTGACCCTTGACCCATGACCCCCCCTGGCAGGGAGAGCACAGGTCATAGGCTGGGCCAGGGGCAAGAACCACTGGGTCCAGCCCAGCTCAGTGTCTCCTCCTTGCGGGAACTGAGGCCACAGTCACAGGCAGGAGGGTCCGCAGACCCCAGCGCCCCAGGTCCAGCTGTGCTCCCCATGTCCTCCTCTGAGGTCCCAGCCCAGAGCCACAGCTGCAGTCAGACCTCCACTCTGAGACCGTGATCTGGTGGGCCGGGCAGGGGTGGCCAGTCAGCTGAGCTCTCCTCAGCCTGGCCCGTGCAGATGGCACTCAGATCCCCAGATAACACGGCTCCCCTGATGGTAGAGTTAACTTCTCAGATAACAGCCAGAGATGGATGTGGGGCCACATGGAGGAATCGGGTCTGCTGGCGTGGACGGGGACGGCAGGGCCCTTCCTGACCAGATGGACTCGCTCTGGTCTGAGTCATCCACTTCCGTCCCGACTCCCCTGGATCGGAGGACCCGCCCCCTCCCCTGACCCTCTGGTTGTCTGAGGATAAAGGGGCAGAGAGAGTGGGCTGGGCAAGAGCAGCCTGGACCTGCCAAGGTGAGCCCCCCAGCAGGACCCCGACATTGGCTGTCACTGTGCAGCGGGTGGCCGAGCACTGAGGCCCTAGACCCCCAGCCTGGACAGAGCCCCTGATCAAGGGCCCCACGCCACTGGACCCCAGACCTCAGACCCCGCACCCCCACACTCCACACCCTCAGACCCCAGACCCCCAGACCCCGCAGCCCCAGACCCCACACCCCCAGACCCCGCACCCCCACAGCCCAGACCCCCAGACCCCAAACCCAGACCCTAGATCCTGTACCCCCACAGCCCTGGACCCCAGAGACCCAGACCCCACAGCCCCAGACCCCACACCCCCAGACCCCGCACCCCCTGATCCCAGACCCCAGACCCCTCCCTGCTCCTTGCAGATGTTCTCTCTGCTGGCGCTGGCCCTCCTGCTGAGCCTGGTCCCCGTGGCCCCTGGTGAGTCCTGACCCCGGGCCTGCGGGGTCTCTGCCCTCCCCCACCCCCACAAGCCCAGGGGCGAGTGGTGGGTTCAGAGGAGCCCAGGGTTGAAGGCTTCCTGCTCCAGCCCCAGGCCAGGCCCTGCAGCGCGCGGGCATCGTCGGGGGCCAGGATGCCCCTGGGAGCAGGTGGCCCTGGCAGGTGAGCCTGAGAGTCAGCCGCGGGTACTGGAGGCACCTCTGCGGGGGCTCCTTGATCCACCCCCAGTGGGTGCTGACCGCGGCCCACTGCGTCGGACCGTGAGTCTCCAGAGGGCCCGAGGGTGGGGTGCGCTGGGGCTCCACCCAGGCTCCTGGGCGTCCCGAGGGTGGCTCAGCTCTGAGTAGGGGCCCGTCTCTGTCCCCAGGGAAGTCCGCAACCCCTCATACCTCAGAGTGCAGCTGCGGGAGCAGCACCTGTATTACCAGGACCAGCTGCTCTCCATCAGCAGGGTCATCCCCCACCCCAGCTACTACACAAGCGAGAACGGGGCGGACATCGCCCTGCTGGAGCTGGACGAGCCCGTGAGCATCTCCTGCCACGTCCAGCCGGTCACGCTGCCCCCTGCGTCGGAGACCTTCCCCCCGGGGACGCAGTGCTGGGTGACGGGCTGGGGTGATGTGGACAATGGAAGTGAGTGTAGGGCACCCCAGGATGGGGCAGGGCCAGGCCCCAGGCTCTGGTGTTTCCTCTGGGGACCAGCGTCCCCACCGCCTGCTCCCTCCTGATGGTGCCTCCCTCCGACTTGAGCCCCTGGCCCAAGTCTGCCTCCCTCCGCCCCCTCCCCGCAGGGCGCCTGCCGCCCCCGTTCCCCCTGAAGCAGGTGAAGGTGCCCGTCGTGGAGAACAGTGTCTGTGACAGGAAGTATCACTCTGGCCTGTACACGGGGGACAATGTGCCCATCGTGCGGGAGGACATGCTGTGTGCCGGGGACAGCAGGAGGAACCCATGCCAGGTGGGTGAGCGCCCCCGGAGCCCCCACCGCCCCCCGCAGCCACCCTGAGCCCCCCGCCACCCCCCGCAGCCCCCACCGCCCCCCGCAGCCGCCCTGAGCACCCCCCACCCCCCGCAGCCCCCACCGCCCCCCGCAGCCGCACTGAGCACCCCCCACCCCCCGCAGCCCCCACCGCCCCCCGCAGCCGCACTGAGCCCTCCCCACTCCCACCTGCAGGGCGACTCCGGAGGGCCCCTGGTCTGCAAGGTGAATGGCACCTGGCTGCAGGCGGGCGTGGTCAGCTGGGGCGACGGCTGCGCGAAGCCCAAGCGGCCGGGCATCTACACCCGCGTCACCTCCTACCTGGACTGAATCCATCAGTTCGTCCCTCAAGGGCCCTGAGCCTGGTCCCCAGGCCACCATCCGGGTCAGCAGAGGAGCCGACCCCCTCTGTCCCCACACCGCTGCTTCCGTGGAGGCAACCTTCCTGCACCTTCACTGGCTCCCTCCCTGCTGCCCACCCCCAGTGAGCCCCCTCCCAGCTGAGCCCTCTCTGCTGACCCCTCCCTGCCCTGTGCACCCTGCCCCAGCCCCCTCGCCGCCCAGCTCAGGGCTGCTGATACTCATTAAAGAGTGTGGAGAGCAGATGGGGTCCTGCCTGTCTCTGACTGTGGGTGTCGCTGAGGGAGGGGAGGGCCTCCCCTATAGCCTGTCCCCGCCCCAGGGCCCTGTCCTAACAATATGGACTACCCAGCCCGGCAGGCAGTCCCTGGGAGGCCTGCCAGGTGAGCCCAGACTCTCAGCGGAGGATGGGGACTCCCTGGCATCCCCACCCTGTCCCCAGGGTGACCTGGAGGACCTCTGTTCCCAGGTGAGCTAGGTGAGGACTGCGGTCCATGTCCCTGCTTCTGCACAGAGCCTGGTCAACTGTCCCGCCTTCCTGTCCTCTAACCCTTGACCCATGACCCGTCCTTGGCACAGTGAGTGGGGCCCCCTGCCTGGGCCAGGGGCAAGACCTACTGCAACAGCCCTGGGTCTGACCGGGTGCAGCGTCTTCTCCTTGTGGGGACTGAGGCCAACATCACAGGCAGGGGGGTCACAGACCCTAGCGCCCCAGGTCCACCTCTGCCCACCCACTCCTCCCAACTTGGGGGGCTGCTTGCTCTTTGGAGTCCTGCAGTTCCTTGAGTCTCCACCAGAAGGAGTCCTTACCGCCTCTGGGTTGGGCTGGGTCGGGCAGGTGGGGATCGGGGGAGGGGCCGGCAGCAGCCTGGGGTCCCCCATAATGGAGACTCGCTGCCCACCCGGGTTCGAGCAAATAGGTCCCAGCCTCAGCCACGTAAGCCCCGGATGGCACCTCCCACCACCTGGACCAGCCCGGAGGCGGCCGCTGTCCTGCTGGCGTGGTCACCTACTTTGCTGAGTGGACAGCAGGGCCTGGACGCTGTCGGGGAGCCAACCCCGCCCTGGGTACAACCCCTCACCATGATCCGGCCCCTCTCTGTTCCTGCTCTCAGGGGGAAGGGGTCGTGGGGGGAGCGGGTCTGCACTGGGGCTGCAGTTGAGGCCAGCAGGACGTGGGGCAGGCCTAGGGTCAGAGCCTTCAGGCAGGGATACAGGTAGAGAGACAGCAGGTGAGGCGGGGCAGCACCCTCTGCAGCCCCAAGTGACGGCCAGGCTGGGAAGCTCTCTACAGGGGCCCCGCCCCGCCCCATCCCTGCCAGGAGCCCTGGATCAGACTTCAGTGTGTGAAGAATACCATGTGGTTCTGGCTGCCAAGGTGAGCTTGGCTTTTTTCCCAGCAGAACTTTCTATCTGCGATCTGCCAAGGAGTGTGGTGGGGGAGGGGTGGGGTGGGGAACTGGGGAGTGCTGAGGACCTACAGGGGGCAGGGGAGCTCTGTGGAGCCCGTGGCGCTGGTGGTGGCATCACCCAGGTCTGCCCTCACTAAGGCCACAGGCTGGCCACTCTCCCACGGGGGAGGGGTGGGTGCCAATTCTGGCAGTGGAAATCCAACATTTTTCTTAAATAAGTTAATATTTATTCCGCTCTGCTTTGCAGCCCCACCCCCCCACCTCCCCTTGACTTGAGAAGCCGAGTTTTCTGCATCGGATTATTGCAAACGTTTAACCTGAATTTATAAAAGAAAGTGAAACGACGGGGCCATCAGCTCAAAGTCTTGACCCAGGCCCCACGGGCAGTGGGGGTCTTATTGCACGGTCCCCACTCCCTGGCGACCAGTCATTTCCCAGAGACCAGAGTCAAGGTGTTCTCTGGAATCCTGAGGGGTTGGAACAGCGGGGAGTGGGTGTGGAGGGGAGATGAGACAGCAATGAGTGGTGGAGACACGGATGAGTACTCGAGACTGTGAGTGACGGAAAGCGTGGCCACGGCGGCCTTTGGCAGGAAGCTGCCACCAGAGGGCGCGAGCGGCCCCAGGCGTGTTCCCTATAAAAAGAAGTGGACGTGAAGATGGGGCTCTGCTGGGCGGGCTCCGCAGGGCGGCCTCTGCCTTCCTCCTCCAGTTCAGTTTCTGGTCCTTGTTCCTGGAACTCCCGAGCAGGCCGCCAACACGGCCCGGGACCACCTCGGCACCCTGGGAAACCCCAAACCTGAATCGACAGGACGGAGGCCTCGGGCTGTGGGCCCCCGCTGCTCCACGTGCCCAGAAGGCATGGGCTACCCTCTCCCTGTGCTGACATCCTTCTGGCTCCTCTGCCCTCAGGGGGCCCGAGCCAGGATCCACACACAGCCCTGTCCTGGCCGCCACACTGCTGGGCGCACCCCAACCCAGTGCCAAAGCCTGTGGGCACTGCACCCGAGCTACACGGGCTCATCCACGCTGTCACCCGGGACTGGCACAGCCGGGGGGGACATTCTCTTCAGAGGGCTCTCAGGGACGGTGAGGTGCACCCCCCACCCCTCCTCTGGGGGGTCTCCTGAGGGCACTGGGGGCTCCGTCTCCCGGGGTTCAGGAGGGGCTGTGGTGCCTGAGGAGGAGGGTCTGGGTTCTGGGGCAGCCCCATGTCCCCCATCCGTGAACAGGTCCCCACTGGGGCCCCCCACGTCCAGTGGCTCAAAGGCGAAGTTCGGGACGGTCAGGTGTTCTGTGCGGCAGGGGGCCTGGCCCCGCCGCTCCCCCTTGGCAGCAGCGTCCAGCCCTGCGCCGTCTGCGGGCTCCAGGGGGTCTCTGTGGGGCACAGCCTCACAGGATGGGGTTCGCCGCCGCAGGGTGGTGCTGCTACCCTCCGCCGCAGGGGCCCTGGCTGCACCCTCGTCCTCCGCGGGGGGCTCTATGGAGATGCAGGGGGGGCTCATCTTCTTCTTCCTGCGCGCCCCCAGGGCCAGCTCGGCCTCCAGGGCCCGGGGCTTTGCCTCCCCGGCCTCTGGACGGCTGTCTCCGATGCCCGGCTCCCCCGAGGGTCGCCTCTGCTCGTCCACCCTGCCCGGCTGGTCCAGGAAGCCCCGGGTGTCCACGCTGTAGAGCCTGTGCAGATCTGGCTCGCCGCCCACCATCCCACGGGCAGTGGGCGAGGCCGAAGGGCTGCGGGCAGAGCTGGTGATATGGCTGACCTCCTCATCGGCTGGGTCTGGGGCCTCGGTCTCCTCCCCGCCTGGGGCAGGCAGCCGGCTGGAGAGGCAGTGCTGTCCAGAAGTGTGCTTGCGGGTGCGGATGCTGGCGGGCCGCGGGGACCGGGGCGGGGACCGCATGGAGGGCCCCAGGGATGCCTGCCTCACGGGGGTTTTCCCGCCGGGCTCTCCCCAGTATGGGCTGCTGGCCCCAGTGCCATCAACCTGCCCTTCCAGGGACTCCGTGCGGACGGCCTCCTGCAAAGGCAGGGAGTCAGGTGAGATCAGCCAGAGGGACTCCCTCCCAACTCCAGGCCAGGTGACCTTGTGACCCCCAAGGCTGTGGGCCAGGATGAGATGAGGCTTCAAGATGCTGGTGTGGACGCACTTGCCCCGCAACTGGAGCAGAGGGACCCTCGCCAATCTGGTCGTGCAGGGGGGACTGGAGGCCAAGCTTCTGTGGGCAGAGCCTGCCCAGGGCCCTGGAAACCCCCGAGGGGCACAGACCCCGGCTGCAGCTGCTGCTAGACCAGCTTGGCTCCCCGGGCAGGGAGGGGGAAGGGAGGGCGCCAAAGGCTCAGGCAGGAGGGGGTCTCCGGCTGCAGCCAGGCTCGCCAGCACGGCTTCTGGGCGGGGGGGGGGGGGGGTCTGGGGACTTAGTCTGCTGCTTAAGGGGCCGTGGGACCCCGTGGCCGGGTGTGGTCATTACAGACTCCAAGGGCCCAGCGCCCAGTCTCTCACGCTTCAAATGGGGAGGGAACCCCACAGAGATCCCAGGGCTTGGCTGAGGACCCAAAAACGCCTCCTACCTGTCTGCAGAGCAGCCGGCTGACACTAGGGGAGCGGGCTGCACCCCGCGGGGGCAGGGCACAGAGGGTGTCGCCGCCCCTCGCCGGGGAGGACACAGCCGAAGGGACCTGGAGGGAGGCGCAGGACTCCACAGGCGGCGAGTGGGCGGTGATGACCCGGCCTGCGGCAGGAAAGCGCCAGAAATGCGAACCCACGCTTAGCGGGCCCGCCCCAGCCCCTCTGCCCCGCTCCCACGGTGCCTCTGGCCCCACCCCACCGCCCCTCTGCCCCATCTGACTCCGCCCACCCCGCCCCCATCGCCCGCCCCTCCGGCTCCGCCCCGTCGGCCCCGCCCGCCCAGGGCCAGGCTGCCTCTGCCCGGGGCCGTACCCGAAGCGCCCGCGTAGGTCTCCATCTCCACCTCCTGTAGCGGGTGGGGGTGAGCGGCTGCCGCAGGCGCCACGGGCCGGAACATGTAGCTGTCGTTGGGCAGCGAGAGCATCCTGGACACCGACACCTTGCGCACGACTAGCACATTGGGGGAGTCTGGCGAGGCGCCGGGGCTCTGCGGGGCCGCGGGCCTGGGCCGGGCAGGGGACCCCTGCGCCATCTCCATCTCGAGCTCCGCGTCCAGCTCGGCGTCCTCGCGGGCCTCCTTATTGCTCTCCTCCAGGTGCTTCATGAGCACGGCCACCACCACGTTGACCAGCACGAACTGGGCTACCAGCACGAAGGTGACGAAGTAGATGGGCGAGATGGCCGGCAGGTAGGTGAGGCAGTGCTTGTCCTCTCGGGCGCACTCGCGCAGCGTGTCCTGCGGGCAGAGGGGGGCGGGCAGGCTCTCACTTCTGCCTGCAGCCCCCCACTCAGGGGGCTCCCATTGCCCCGCCCACCGCGCCAGCCCGTACCTTCATGATCCCATTCCAGTTGTCCCCGGTGGACACGCGGAACAGCGTGAGGAAGGCCATGCCGAAGTTAGAGAAGGTGGCGTGTCTGCTCAGGCCCTCGCAGGG